AGCAGATGCGATTGATACAATGTTATGGTCCTTGAAGGTGAGATCCTCCGACATGAAGTTGAGTGGCGAGAGTTCCCTGAATAGTGCTTCTGTTCTCATGGTTAGTGACTATAGTGTTGCAGACCCTGTTGATGGTGCCACCGCAGTTAGGCATCACCTTGCATGAGTATCCTACGGGCTACATCTCTTTACGCTCATTTCTTAACTTTAAGTCTGAGAGTGAGTCAACGCCTCTAAATTTTACTTCTTCCATTGTAAAAATTCATCTATTTGCAAATCGACAGTGGTTGGGCCTGATGACATTCATGTCTTTATGCTTCAACAATTATACCTTCTGGTTCTCATTGTCCTCTTAAATCTTTTTAGTCACATTTAGTCCCAAGGGATCCTCCTACTTCAGTAGAAAATAGCCCTTATCTGACCTTTTCAAAAGTAAGGCACTTCAGGCCATGACACCTCTCTAGACCCTTCACTCTTACTAGTGCAGTTTGTAAGTTGCTGGAACATAGAGATAACAGATGTTTAGTATGGTACTTGGAAACTCTAAATTCTCTCCCCCCCCCTCATTGATTTGCTTTTCGTAAGGCCTGTTCTATAATCGACCCCATAGTCCACTTGGATATGTTAGCAGTGCCTTCTCTAATATTCATTTGATTACAGCAGTCATTTTTCTTCTTTAAAAAAAAGCCTATGACAATACCTGGCATTACATCATCATAGGTCAGGCTCTTTCCTTAGGTCTCCGAGGCAATTTACTTTTTTCTTAAAGATTTCTTACAGAAGAGGCACTTCCATGTCTGTGTAAATTATAGCTTTACCTCTCCCCCCCCCCCGACATGTCTAAGATGAAGGCATTCATCAAGGCTACGTTCTTTGCTCTACCATTTTCCTTCCATTAATGACATTCTCTGTACTCCTTTCCACTATTCAGTCGTCTCTCTTACGTCGACGATTTGGTATAGCTTGTGCTGGTGCTGACTGTCTCCTTGTAGTTGCCTCTCATCTCCATTCTGCTATTGCTTGTGCTGCCAACTGGGCCACTGCTCATGGGTTTAAATTTTGTTGGTAAAATGCACCATATAAGACACCCAATTATTCTTCGTGCTGCTCCCTACTTGTATGGCTCCCGTATCCCTAAATAGGATAGTCAGATTTCTCAGTTGGATTGTTGAATGTCTTGGAAGGCTCGCATGACCTCCCTGAACACTACTTGTTATAGTCGTCTGAACCTCCTTAAACGTCTAGCCCATCTTTCCTGGGAGCTGATAGGTGACCCCTTCATCATCATTCAGCCGTAATCTTGTATAAACTAGACTCTGGTGACCAACTGTGCTCTTAAACCTCTTCCTCTTTCTGAACTTGATCCCATTCATCATGGAGTGTGTGTGTCTATGGGCTTTTTTTTATCTTCCCCAGTCGAAAACCTGTATACAGAGGAACCTTCAGTCTTGCAGGATAAATGCAAAGTCCATTGTCTCTCTTATTTATCTGTTTCCATGAGCCTCACGACTCTTCCATGTATAGAACAGTCAGTTATTCACTCTCTCATTGCTTCCCTTAATTGATCTCCCCTTTACCTTCACCCTGCATCTTTTCTTCTCCTTGGGAAGTTCTGACAGTTCATGTTTGCTCCTCCCCATTATTATGTGCCCAAGCTCATGGGCCTCCTACAACTTTGTTCTTTCTTGATCACTTGAAGTCTCATGCAGTATACACTACCGACACTAAACTCCCCAATGGTGTCGATTATGCAGCAGTTTTTCCTGAATGAATTATCCGGGATCATTGGTATAGTTATTTGAGTCTGCTAGTATTATCACAGATCATCATCCATATTGCAACCATGATCAGTTGTTAAATGATTTCCTGCAGGGGTATTCTTACTCTGAATATGCCGCTGGCAACAACGGTTCTTATTAGACCAAAACTATAATTGTTTTCACTCGAATCAAACTGTGGTTAGGATTCTAGCCATCTTGCCACCATTGTTGGGTTTAGTAGATTACACTATCACACTTAGGTATCAGATGCATGCAACTCGCTCACGGAGACGAAATGGAGAAACGACCAGTAACACACTGCATGGACTGTCGGGTCGCACTGTCTGCTCAGCATGTCTATCAGAGGGCTGCAGGTTACACTTGCTACACCTAAACAACCCAACATACTATCGCTGGCAGCCGCCTGAAAAACGTCCGACTTTTGACACACTTTCTCTTTGACTTTTTAATGGAAAATAAGCAATTACACCAATTTTTATTTCACTTTTAACACTTTCTTTAACCACTAATTTTTCACACTCCCGTCTCTTCCTCCCTCTTAACTTTCATACATCCCTTCCCAAAGTATTCTGTTATCCGAAGGCTGAGCATTTAAGTTGATGATAATTTGGTTTGTGTACTCACCTGTTTGTGGTTGCAGGGGTCGATTTGCCCTTCCTCTTCACTGGTCGCTACTAGGTCTACACTCTTCCTGTTTTAAGAGCCTTGTCGTTCATCGTAAAGCTGTGTATGGATCCTGCATCACTCCAGATTGCTCCACTTCTTGACAACTCTAGTGCTGAAGAAATACTAACATCTCCGCGACTCATCTGATTTTCCTTTTAACTTCCAGTTGTAGATCCTTGTTCCTGTATCCCATCTTTGAAATATTATGTCCCTGTCCACCTTGTCAATTCCTCTTGGTATTTTATGTCGCTATCATGTTTTCCCTATCCCTCCTTTCCTCCATTGTTGTCAGGTTGGGTTCCCTTAACCTCTCGTCATTGGATATACCCCTTAGCTCTGGGGCAGTGTCTTGCTGCAAACGGTTGCACTTTCTCCAATTTCTTGATGTGCTTAACCGGATGTGGATTCCGTACTAGTACGACATAATCCAGTATGGGCCTGATATACACATTGTTCAGTGTCGTGAATGACTCCTTACTTAGATGTCAAAATGCTATTCTTAGATTTTGCCAGGTACTTACGTGCTGCAGCAGTTATTTGGTTGATGATATGCCTCAGGGGATGTGCTTGGGGTGATGCTCACCCCAAGATCCTCTCTTGAGTGAGGTTTGCAGTCTTTGACCCCAAACGTGTACTCCATCTGTGGTCCTTCTTTTGTCCTTCCCCAAGCTTCATAACTTTGCACTTGATGGGGTTAAACTCCTGAAGCCATTTGTCAGACCAGGATTACAGCCTGTCCAGATCCTTTTGTAATCTTACCTGGTCCTTGTCCTCTCAAATTCCCCGCATTTGCCTTCACGTCTGCAGACACACCTGAGTCTATCCCTTCCGTGTCACTCACAATCTCTTGTGCGGTATTGTCAAAAGCCTTCTTACAAAGAAAAATGCCACTTATTTTTTATTTCGTTTGCGTTGGTGTACCATACCTTCTTCTTTTCCAAATACTGTATTCTGGAAGGTGGGGGGGGGGTTAGTGTGAGCTGAGGGGTGGGAAACAGGGTGGGATACTATGAGAGGCTGCTGTGTGGGGTGGTGGTTGTGCTGACTGGGTGGGGGCTGTGGGTGCAAATTGTGGTTTGTATTAATGTTGGTTGAATTACCCACAATAAAGTAAAAGGACACAAGTGCAACTAATATGACATTATTATGGCAATGTTTCACTCTCCAGCTTTATCAAGCCGTTGTAAACAATACATGGACACAGAGGGTATATATAGGCTTAGAGTGAGGTGCAATACTAGTGGTGGTAGTAAGTAGTAGTAGTAATACAATATGGTAGAACAATCAACTTGCCAATGAGTAAAAGGTTATTTTTATGTTACCCAATAGCTTTTATAATCTTTTATTCATGTGCAAGTTGATTGTTCTACCATATTGTATTGCTACTACTACTTATACTACTACTACCACCACTAGTATTACACCTCACTCTAAGACTATATATACCCTCTGTGTCCATGTATTGCTTGTAACAGCTTGGTAAAGCTCCTGGAGAGCGAAACGTTGCCACAATAAAATGTTACATTAGTTTCACTTATCCTTTTACAAATTGTGGTTTGTTTTGGGTTTGGTTGTGGTGGTGGATTTTGTAGATAGTTGTATTTGGTGGTCCACTTCCTTGCCTGCCTTGTCTCTCCTGGTCCCTTGCGTCTTTGTAACCTCTCTCTGTTTCTTTTGTTCTTTTCATGTTCTGTTGCAGTTGAGGTACACCCACTGGTATTGCTGTGAGTTCTTTAACAATGGTTTCTGCTTAAAGATCTTACTTCATACCATTTTTGTCGTGTGTGTGTGTTTTACTTTTTTATAGCCAAGTGCACTGAGTGACCTACATGGTCAAAGTGTTCTGTAAATATCGTAACTGTTTTACAGTAATAGGGGGAAGTATATGGGAAAGACATAGCAGAGAACCTGCAAGTCCAGGCCGAGGCTGTATTCAGAGAAGAACTATTTATTTCTGCCTAGTTTATGGACTATTGTGTATTATCTGGGTGTACGAGTCAGTGATAGTAAAGCAGAAGTCTGAGTGAATAAAAGTACAGAACAAACCTATATTGTCAGGTTTCATTGGATGCAAAGCCTTATCTAGTCAATACATGTCAGTCCAATATGTACTGAGTTGAAAAAGCTGGATGTGGAACGAAACCTGTCACAATGTTGACCTGTTGTGTATGTGTTCGTCATCCATGTTTCAAGTGGTAACGTTTGTTCACTTGTCTCTTCCAGATGACAGGTAAATCTTACAAACCTCTTCTTACATTCAGTATACACATACCTTTACTTCCTTGTGCTTCTTAATAGTTCTTAATCCTGTAATGTTTTCTTTCTTGCCTGGAAGGCCTGGTCTGTGACCTGACCCTGGGGAAGATAATTCACACAACCACTAACAGATAAGTCACTGCTGGAGTAAAGGTAATGTTTCCAGTATAAACGTTTGTTGACTTCTTGTGTCCTAGACTGGTGAAGCATTTTTTTTAGGGTTATGACGGCTTATACCGTATGATCCTTCATGGAGTATTAGTAATGTTATTAAAAGTGTAAAACGTTTGTTGGCAGGTCGGGAGGAGGGTTATATGAGCGCAGGTGGGCGCGGCCTCTTGCCACTCTCCCACACAATATAACCTTGCCTACTGCTGCTGCTGCCGCTGCTACCATCACTAAAACCTGCTTCAACACCTTCACCACTGCTACCACATCATCACCGCCTCTACCATTTATTTCAAGCCTGGTAGCGTGTATTCGTGAAGCAAAATAAGTGCTAAGTGATTAAATAAGTGTTTGTGTGTGCCAGGAGTGAGTTGGCTTGTGCATTGTGAACCTCGGCGAGAGTTTTAAGTGATAAGTGAAAGTGTACGTAGTGTTGTTATTAAGTGTAGTGGATCACTTCCCACCACCATGACCACCACCTTCGACCCGCACGACAGAGCCAGGTCAGTATTTCAGACTTTGTTGTTGTAAATAATACTTTTATCTTAGACTCAAAATGAGGATTGTTACAAACATGCAGTAGTAGTAGTAGTTGTATGTTCCAACACATGGGTGGTGTCCCACCAAGGTACACTCGAAACAAGAGGAAATAATTGCACCGTTATTCGTTATGTCACTATCTTGCCAGAAACTTGCTGACGTCATACCTCAGATAACTCTGATAACACTTGTCATTAAACAGGTGTACTAACATGCAGCAGTTATACAGTCATGAAACAGTTGTACAGTCATTGCACAGGTGTACTGAGAGACAGGTGAGATAACTTGAAAATGTAAACAGTAATAATATAGTTATGCATATATTTATATCTGTTAAGACAGCTGTCTTAACCACAGTCATTATGACACTGTCATCTTAACCACAGTCATTATGGCACTGTCATCTTGACCACAGTCATCATGGCACTGTCATCTTAACCACAGTCATCATGGCACTGTCATCTTAACTCCAGTCATCATGGCACTGTCATCTTAGCCACAGTCATCATGGCACTGTCATCTTAACCCCAGTCATCATGGCACTGTCATCTTAACCCCAGTCATCATGGCACTGTCATCTTAACCACAGTCTCATGGCACTGTCATCTTACCCCAGTCATCATGCACACTGTCATCTTAACCCAGTCATCATCGCACTCTCATCTTAACCACAGTCATCATCGCACTGTCATCTTAACCGCAGTCATCATGGCACTGTCATCTTAACCACAGTCATCATGGCACTGTCATCTTAACCCCAGTCATCATGGCACTGTCATCTTAACCCCAGTCATCATCGCACTCTCATCTTAACCACAGTCATCATCGCACTGTCACCTTAACCACAGACATCATGGCACTGTCATCTTAACCCCAGTCATCATGGCACTTTACTCTTAACCGCAGTCATCATGGCACTTTACTCTTAACCGCAGTCATCATGGCACTTTACTCTTAACCACAGTCATTATGGCACTGTCATCTTAACCACAGTCATTATGGCACTGTCATCTTGACCACAGTCATCATGGCACTGTCATCTTAGCCACAGTCATCATGGCACTGTCATCTTAACCCCAGTCATCATGGCACTGTCATCTTAACCCCAGTCATCATGGCACTGTCATCTTAACCACAGTCATCATGGCACTGTCATCTTAACCACAGTCATCATCGCACTGTCATCTTAACCCCAGTCATCATGGCACTGTCACCTTAACCACAGTCATCATGGCACTGTCATCTTAACCCCAGTCATCATGGCACTTTACTCTTAACCGCAGTCATCATGGCACTTTACTCTTAACCGCAGTCATCATGGCACTTTACTCTTAACCACAGTCATCATGGCACTGTCATCTTAACCAGTCATCATGGCACTTTACTCTTAACCCCAGTCATCATGGCACTGTCATCTTAACCACAGTCATCATGGCACTGTCATCCTAACCACAGTCATCATGGCACTGTCGTCTTAACCACAGTCATCATGACACTGTCATCTTAACCACAGTCATCATGGCACTGTCATCTTAACCACAGTCATCATGGCACCGTAATCGTAACCATAATCATCATGGCACTGCCATGTTAACCACAGTCATCATGGCACTGTTGTAAAATAGTCACATGGGTGACTGATGACAGATCCTGGAACAGTTAAAATAAGAAAGTTGACGTAAGCCATGCGCAGTTCCTGTTTTGTTCACTCGCCACTGTTTTTTTTTTTTTTTTGTCGCCTTTTATCTAATATATTCACTTTTTGTGTTGTAATGTAGCGTAACTTGTAAGTGTGCTACAAACACTACGTGAGAGTGATACAAGTGTTAGGATGTTGTAAGTGTGCTACAAACACTACGTGAGAGTGATACAAGTGTTAGGATGTTGTAAGTGTGCTACAAACACTACGTGAGAGTGATACAAATGTTAGGATGTTGTCAGTGTGCTACAAACACTACGTGAGAGTGATACAAGTGTTAGGATGTTGTAAGTGTGCTACAAACACTACGTGAGAGTGATACAAGTGTTAGGATGTTGTAAGTGTGCTACAAACACTACGTGAGAGTGATACAAGTGTTAGGATGTTGTAAGTGTGCTACAAACACTACGTGAGTGATACAAGTGTTAGGATGTTGTAAGTGTGCTACAAACACTACGTGAGAGTGATACAAGTGTTAGGATGTTGTCAGTGTGCTACAAACACTACGTGAGAGTGATACAAGTGTTAGGATGTTGTAAGTGTGCTACAAACACTACGTGAGTGATACAAGTGTTAGGATGTTGTAAGTGTGCTACAAACACTACGTGAGAGTGATACAAGTGTTAGGATGTTGTCAGTGTGCTACAAACACTACGTGAGAGTGATACAAGTGTTAGGATGTTGTCAGTGTGCTACAAACACTATGTGAGAGTGATACAAATGTTAGGATGTTGTCAGTGTGCTACAAACACTTCGTGAGAGTGATACAAGTGTTAGAATGATGGGTTGTCTACCAAAGGGACTACTTATTATGGTTCTTTTTTCCTTGTTGTTTTTAGTTTGTTTGGTTGTGTTAAGTTGAGACTGCTTCCTGTGATCACCTTCACCAATACAACGTTGTTGCTCTGTGAGTGTACATGTATCACTGTAGCTTTATTTTTAAATTTGAGGTTAGGAATGTCAGCTCGTCCTATTAATCACATTTTACTGTTGTAAGACAGTCACCAGGGAGAGTGATGAAGGCACCTTAAACAGTGATAATTTGACAGTTTTGTCTACATTACTCAGTGGCTGTCACTTTTCTGTTCCCGCTGCACAACTTTTGATGTCCTTTATCTTGTATTTTTATTTTTTCCATTGTGTTAAGTATATTGCTGATTTTTTTATGGATAAAAGACAGCTTAACGTAACCTTGCCTTACCTGCCTAGAATATACCTGAAGGGTGGTCCGGGTGTTAGTACCCCCCTCGGCCTGGTCCATGACCAGTCCTCACGGTGAATGAGGGCCTGATCAACCAGGGGATCTATTGGTAATCCCCCTTATGTATGCTTGGAGGCAGTTGAACAGTCTTGGGCCCCTAACACTTTTTTGTGCTGTCTCTGTGTATTCATGGCACCCCTACTTTTCATTCGGGGGATGTTACACAGCCTGAGTCTTTTTCTTTCGTTGGGAGTGATTTCTTTGTGCATAAATCTACCCTAACTTAACCTTACCTAACCTAACCTAACGAAGATTACTTAACCTAATCTAGCTGTACCTTACCTAACGTAATTTAACCTTTCCTAACCCAGCCTTACCTTACATTACCTTAGCTAATTTGATCTTACATTAGCTAACTTTATCTTACCTAACGTTATCTTTGTATTAAACCATATTTGATCACTCCACTTATGTTTATGGGATTGGGATGGATTGTGAATGTATTAACATTCCCCTTTGACAAACGTTGTAAGACATCCACATCCTTTAAGTACTTTAACCTGTAGTGCTCCCGTTTGCTCTTATTAAAAAGCGGACTAAAGTAGGTAAATACCTGTCATTGAATTTTAAGGTTCTTTGAATTTTGTAAATTTTGTATGGATATTATGTAATTGAAATAACCTGGAGTTTACCTGGAGAGAGTTCTCGGGGATACGCCCGGGGGCCGGGTCGTGTCCAGGCCTCCTGGTGGATCAGCGCCTCAGTAAAGGCTTTTCTGCGGCTGTCACCAGCCAACGACAGCACAGCCCCTGATCAGAGCCGCTGTAGGTGCTTGTCCAGCTGCCCTTGAAGACTGCAGGGGTCTATTGGTAATCCCCCTTATGTGTGCTGGGAGGCAGTTGAACAGTCTCGGGCCCCTGACACTTATTGTATGGTCTCTTAACGTGCTAGTACACCCCTGCTTTTCATTGGGGGGATGTTGCATCGTCTGCCAGTCTTTTGCTTTCGTAGTGAGTGATTGGTTGGAGCAGTAAATGCCCTATCCTAAGGCAATGCAGTGTGTAAAATATTATGCAGAAAATTCGGTGTGTGGAAATTAGGAGAAGGTGTGGAGTTAATAAAAGTATTAGTAAAAGTATTAGGAATGGAGATAGTTTTTGTTCAAGCTGGAAGAAAATGATTTTGGGTATTATATTTTTCCTCGAGAATACAAAAAAAAAATATCTTGTAGGTATTGCTTTCCATTACTGGTACCATACCTGTCTGACAGTGCAACACTAGGGAATCTTGGTGCACAGAATACCTTCTTCAACCTGTTTCTTAGCTCTGTCCTAACTCTTGTGCATGACCTACTTCCATAGTGATTCCTACTGCCCACCCTGACTGTCTTCTCTGCTGGACTCCAATATAAGCGACCATCTTCCGGCCTGTGCTTCAGATTCGTCAAGACGACGGTGAATATCTTCATCTAGGCTGAGGGACTGATTACCTTGTCTTCTACTGTCTCCATATAATTGACTGGGACAAAATTAACCAAGAACTATCAGACATATCCTTGGAAACTGTCGTGAGCACATTAAATCCTCACCAATGCCTGGAAAAGCTGATCACAGACGCATACAATGTGTGTATTAAATATATACCATTGAGGAAACCTGGAGGACCAGTGAAGAAAGCGTAGATGATGCAGACGAGGAAAAGGGGTTACAGAATTCCTTAAAAACATGAATATGTCACAAGGAAAGAAAGTGTCTTAGCTGAAAGATTACGATTTAGAGCAATACTTAGGATGTCGTATCAAACAGAAACACAAAGGGAACGAAATGTCATCCAGGATATTGCAAGAAACTCCAAGTATTTCTATACGTATGCAAAATGTAAGCTAAGAACTACCCTGTAAAATTGGACCCATAATGAAAGGAGACTCGTATATCGACGATGAACAGGACATGAGCGAAATTGTAAACTGTGTTCAACAACCCACTAAATGACAGCAAGGTGGAGAATGCACAAACTTTTTTTCATTCCATCGGAAAGCCGCACTGACCAACTTCACTGGGCCG